TGTAGCGGCCTTGCTCCTAGTAGCGATGCCCTTTGCTACCAGGAGCGTCCTTGCTCCTAGTAGCGATGCCCTTTGCTACTAGTAGCGTCCTTGCTCCTCGTAGCGATGCCCTTTGCTACTAGTAGCGTCCTTGCTTTTTAGTAGCCATGCCCTTTGCTACTAGGAGCGTCCTTGCTGATGCCCTTTGCTAGCCCTACTTTCTAATTTTATTTCTAGTTTATTAATTATATTTTATTCTATTTTCTAATTCTACTTCTTTAATTCTAGTTCTTGTTTCTACTAGCTTATTGTTCCTAGTAGGGATGCCAGGAGCCCCTAGTAGCGTCCTTGCTCCTACGCCTTTGCCTCGGAACTTTGAGATCTCTTATTAAATCTGCATGCGTCCTCGGTCCGCAGGGGCCTGTGTGGCACAGCCTGGTCCACGAACAAAGGCAACCAGGTCGTTTCAGAAAAGGAAGGTCTTTTGAGGAGAACCTGCTAGCTGCTAGCAGCGTTAAGGCGCCCATGCTTCTATCAAATAGACTTGACAGTAATTCATAAGGATACAGGAACATAACCTGCTGGTGAACCATTCACCTTCGCAAATGATTGCAATGCCACGGCTGAAGTTTTTGAGCTTCAAGACAGTACAACCTGTGGAAGCTCTACAGCGTGGAAGCAGTATAGCCAGCAGCTAGCTCATTGGCAATTCCACAGTTGCCACACTGCTGTTGCCCCGAATCCAAGTAGATCGGAGCAACCAAAATGCCGCGCTTGTGTAGAACCCAAAGTGCTGGTGATGAGGCTCAAACAATTAGTGAACAGAGAGGATTTGGAATCATTGGAATTGTGCTCACCAAAGTACAACTGATTTCATTTTATCCTTTGCTCACGGTTAAACATTTTCAAGATGGGTGGAAACCTGTCCATATAATATAATCCGGAATAATCCATCTATTTGTGGTGGCGCTTGTAGAATCTCTCCACGCCACCAAGGATTTAGCATTTCTCTTAGAGAGTATGGGCTTATTCCCTCGCTATTTGATGAGTGTGACCATTGTTTGCACCGTTGCGGTGGCCGTTGTCTTCTTCATGACGTATTCCAAGCTCCTTAAGCCCCGCGTGGAAGGCAAGGCTTCCAAATTCGACCTTTCCTTGTGTTCAGGCAGGCTTGTTGTATGAGAAGACGGTCATCCTAAAGGTGCTTAGGCATGTTGAAAAGTGGGATGGCCGCCACGATCCAACCCTGCAAGGGGAGAGCAGCCTCTCTGCGCCGATGCACTTTCTCAAGAATCTCACAAGCTGCTGGACTGCTTGGACACAACTGAAGTGTGTCTGTGCCTCTTTGTTGTTCCTTCACGACTCATATTCTGATCCGGTATCCTCCGGCTTTCTCTAGTCAGGGCGGGGGACGTTGGTCTGAGCGTTCTCCAACACATTCGTCGATAGGTTCATATCCGCGCCGGCAGGATGTGCTATTTTTTGAAGCAGGCTAGCTAGCACTACTTGGATTGATAAGAGGCTGCTGATTTCCCCATCAGTATGGTTGCTGAGGCTTGATGTGGGCATCCCCCATATATTTTATAGCTATGGGCTATGCCATTTGGCGTGCAGCAGCCTCCTGGCTTGGCAATTGGTTTGCCTTGCGCTAGTTGCATTTTCTTCAGAGTGTCCACAGTGCACAGCAGACCCATAAAGTTGCAAAACACGTGGAATTGTTTGAAGTTTGGTCGATCATGTAGGATTTCATCGAAGTTTCCAAAGAGGAATGTGATGCCTTGCCTCTGTGGCCTTTTCCGCTTTGGACATTTTGAGGCCATGGTCCTTACCCAACGATCCTTCGAATATCATGTGGCTCCAAAGCCCAAACAAGCTGAGGACCGTCGGGTCTCAAGAGCTTAAAATAAATGCAATTTGATATGATAAACACATATAACGCATGAGTAGGCTTAACAACCTTGCAAACACCCATGGGACTATTGCTGTAGAACTTTGGCTGGCTGTAGAAGGTTTGCAGGCGTTCTGTTCAAACGGAATCTTCAATTTCAAACTCCAGCCAGCAGAGGCCTACTGATGACTAGGACCTCACACGAAAGCCCTCAGATGCGAGCACGATGACATCTTCGGAGCACAAGAAGGAAGAACCAGCCTCAGTGGTGATTAGTAACCACCCTTCTACTATGGAGCTCCTGTTTCGTTTTGGAGCTTAGTGATTACAGGGTTGGGCCTATTGTATAGTAAAGTGGTGCCCAGCCTCACCAGACTCGAGAACTGACCATTCAGAGCTCCCAGCGCCGAGGTCGCAAAAGCTGAGTGATGTCTATACTACCTGCTTCGAGTTGGCAAGAAAAGATTGATGCAGGGGGAGGACCCAAACGACTTTCAACCCTGGATCCTTCGTTTATCGACACAGCTTTGGAGGTAAACCATTTTTCGGACATGTCGGACATGAACTGAGTGTGAAGTGGGTTGGCACGAGTAACGTCACGAGAAGATTGGAAAGTACTTGGCGGCCCAACGGATTCTGTGGTCTTGTGCTTGAGTTGTCGAGGTGCATGGATCTATGTGCCACAGATCCCAGAAATGTCTTTTCCGCTGGCATCGGAGTGACTCGGAGGAAAGTGTAAGACGCCAATGACAAATCTAGGTGCTTTGGTTATATCTTTAACTTTGCCTTGTTCCCGAAAAATCTAGGAACCAAATCACGAAAGGTAGCCTGGTAAGGACTACCTTGAGTTTGCTTTGCGAAGCAAAGGGACTGGCTTGAGAGCTTGCTCGGGACTAAAGATTGGTAGATCAATGTCTAACACCCCCACCCCCCCCTCCCCCCTCCACTCCCCTCCCCGTCCCCTCCCCTCGTCGCCAGCACTACTAAATTCTGGACATAAGGTGAAGTCATGCGCTTAACAGTCAGAGCAGTACGACGCTGGCCATGAGGTTGCGCAATACAGCACGAACCCTGCGCAATGAGGTCGCGCAATGCAGCTTCGATGCCGCGCGTGCGCACCCGGCAGCCTGACACAGCGCGTACTGCGTTCACAGACCATATTGCTCGACACCAACGAGCATCGATGCAACACAGCCTCTCTGCAAAGCCCTGTGGAGAAACCCCTCGCGTCGCGGAACACCATTCGACTCAGCCTTATACCCTAGCGTGGCGAAATCTTACCGCATCGTGGAGCACACCCACCATAGCGTGACGTCCATCCCTGGCAGTACCGGCCGCACCCCTCCAGCACTATCCTTACAAGGGGGTTGGTCACTGAGTCACTGCGGCTTCGACGCAACGCGTGCAGGCCTTTAATCCTGACACAGTGCGTGCAGCTGTGGGACCATAGCTGGTACACATGCGAGCGTTTACGCATTGCGACTTTTACGCACGCCTGTTTTCACACACCTAGACACAAACGAGCGTCGACGCAACGCAGCCTCTCTGCAGAGCCGTGTGGCGCAATCTGACCGCAACGGAGTTCCTCTTGAGCCTTCTTATGCCTTCTTGTGCTCTCTGGCTTTGTTGGTTTCATCCATGATTGACCAAGGGGCACGTTCCTGAAACACCGGAGACAGTCCCTCACCAGAAAAGGTCCCGACAGCTACTCGGTCCGTCTCTACCTTTCGTGTTTCCCCACTCAAGTGTATAGTGCGAGCGCTTCTTCAAGGAAGCTTCCTTGAAGAAGCGTGAGCTATCCTGCATCCTATAGGAGCTGAGCTAACTTAATTAGCGTAGTAGGGCGGCAGAGCGGGCTAAACAAAAGAGAAAAACGGAAAATAGGTGTTGTTGGCAATGAGTGTAAGACGCTGAGCTTCCTTCGAGATCTCCCCCAAATGCAGGCCTCTCGGGGAGTGTGGTCACAGGGAAGAGCGGGAGTGATTTGATGCAAGAAAAAAGGAAGCGAGCACACACGGAGGTGGATAGTCTGAAGTTGTCGTATGTTCTGGCTCGCTTGTTTGCTTCTAGCTACTAGTAGTAATGGCCTCCAACCTAATAGCGATGGCCTCCAGCCTAGTAGCTTCGAGCTACTAGTAGTAATGGTTTTTCTGCTTTTCTGCATTTTCCCCAAGCCACCGCGACCTTGGGGCTGATGAAGCCACCTTGCGGCCGGTAAGGTCGATGAAGACCATTGCATCGACCAAAGTCAGTGGTTGTGCGGATGCTTGAGGGTTGCTTGTGGGTTGTTTGTCAGACCCGTGGTGCGGAGCCATGACAAAAGGATAAATAAAAGGTTAGCGGCCAAGCTCAGAAAGCTGTCCGCTTCAAGCATGTGCAGGGCAGGTCTTTTTCCAACTCACTTCCGCCCGTCAACCAGTGACGAAATCACCCTCACAAGCGTGACTCAAGCCCAGGCTCCACCACTAACAAAGGCTGGGCTCTCTTTATGCGAAAGCCGGCTTGATTGATTGGACGGGCGCCCTTCCAGCGATTCTATGAGTTATCTAGATTCTAGATGTAGCCTGCGGCCAGGCATGAGTGGTCAACCACCAATCGACAGTTGCGACTGTCTTGGACCGACTCCGTAGCGGACTCAGGGGGTGGCATGAATCAGGATCAGTTGGACAAGGGTGGCCTGTGCTACTTGAACTGCGTGATGCTGCGTGTGTGCTGTTGGGACTGCCATTGCTGGGAGTGACTGTGCACAGGACTTCAACCAAGTATATAATAAAGCAGCACATACAAGTGAAATATCTATATATGTCTTCTTTGAGCAAGTTTACAGCACATGCAACACACCAGGGCCAAGTGCATGCATTATCCTTTATTCGTTTTGATTCTTCATCGCTTGGGCATACTCCAAGGAAGCTGTTCAGCGAGAGGGGGTTGATCAGTTTGATTGGTGATTTTCAAGGTCAGCGGCTGCAACGAGATCTACTCTGAGAGCACTTTGGTGCCCTATGATAAATGGGTCATGGTCGGATTCTCTCTATCCAAGGCGGGGCCCCAGGAGAGCTTGCTCGATGCCCTTTGTTACTGCGTCCTTGCTACTAGCAGTAATGCCAGGAGCTACTAGTAGCTTCTTGCTCTAGCAGAAATGCCCTTGTTCCTAGTAGCTTCTTGTTACTAGTAGTATGGCCAGGAGCTACTAGTAGCGATGCCCTGGTCACAATATGTCTTCCCACCATCAGCCAAGCCCTTTTGCCTTGTGCTTAGCCAATCAGAGTCAATGCCCAAAGTTCGCCGGCCTCAAGCCCACGGGTATGACGGTGACATTGAACACAGCACTTTCAAGGTTGTGGCCTGATCTTGGCAACCACCCAGATGAAGCAATCTTTTGTTGTCAATCGCTCAGCCGCTAAGCGGACTGCTGAGGCCCGAAACCGTGCCAGCATCATGTTGGACAAGCAGCTGGCCAGACAGTCCAGACTTTTCAATTGCACCAATTTCTAGTATATAGGTGCTTAGCATTAGCATCCTGACTCCGTATCGCCCTCTCCCTCTCTCAATATCCTCAGCATTGTTTGGCTGACTCAGATCGTTGACACTCAGCTGGGCCTGGGCAAGTACTCCCGCCAGCAGCAGAAGCTTGGCCCCACGAAGCATTTTTCGAAACCGTTGCCCGGAGAACTCCCGGAGTTCATTTGATCTTCAGTGACTCTCCAGTTTTTTCCTTCCAGGTGTGATGCGACTGGTTGAAAAGCAGGGTGAGGTGGCCATGTAGTGAGTAGCCACGATGGGACGGGTAGAATCAATTGGTCGAATTGGGGGAGAGGGCGCGACCATGTAACTCGCTTGGCAACGTGGCTTGTCCAATCTAAGGACCATGGGAATCCAGCAGGCAAGAGTGGTTCTCGATCCCATGTCGGAAGGCTGTTGAGGTTGAGATTTGGAGCTATATATATATATATATATAGCTATTTTTATACATATAAACATGTCTCTACAATTGCAATCAAATGCATAATTACTAGTGCTCAACGTGTTTGAACATGTTCTTGATTGTCCAGGCCGGCATCGACCAGCGGATTCTCTCAGATTCGGGCAAGATTCTGTTTGGGGCACATGTCTCAGACAGCTTATCGAGATGTCTTCCGGGACTGCATCTTGACCTTGCTTTGGCGCTCTTGAGATGCTGAGGCCCATATCATGCCCAAGGCCACAGATATTGCACTGGACCTACACTGTCCGTGTGAGGGCCACATGAGCTCCCAGTCGTTCCTGGGCCATCCTGCGCCAAGGCCATGGCGCATGGCTTTATCGGCTTTATGGGTGACACGTGGCTTGGATCAAAGATTATTACTACTAGTAACAAGGAGCTACTAGTAACAAAGGGCATCGCTACTAGGAGCAAGAAGCTAGTAGCTCCTGGCATTGCTACTAGTAACAAGAAGCTACTAGTTACAGGTTTCGACGCCTGGAAGTTGTGGCCGAGGCGGATCTTGGCGCAGTCGACCGATGGAGCAAAGCTAGTCCAGAGACTCTGTGGATTTCGCATCTCTTCTTTTGGATAGACTCATGCTCTGAAGCAGTTGGCAGCACTCTATATACTTTAATCATTCAAGTTGAGCGATTCCACTCGATCTAGCTGGCTGAACTTGCGGCTGCGCAAATGGGGTTTGCTAAGCTCCCAAGCACCAGGTTGCTTGATGCTTTTGCACTTTAGAATGTTTTGAAATGTAAGATTCTCTCCGTCTCTTGAAGGCTTGTCATTTTTGCGGCTACCGGAGCTTACTTGCTGCCCTTCCGAGGTGAATCTCCTCCACTGTGAGGCCAAGGAGATTTCACAAGCACAACATGTGAAAGCTGAAGAAACTGGAAGCTTTTAAACACATGAGCTCACGACTGAGGACTTGACCAGCGGATCCCCGAATTGTGGCACTCACACTTCCGCCCAAACCTTATGAATCCTTTTGGGATTCCAGCTGCTAGACAGAAGTCTTCTCAAGTCTTGTTTAGCAGTTTAGCAACGTCCAGTAGTTGCATTGACCAGCACATCCATTGCATCCATTGTCTCTGGAGCTGGCGCACCCTTTGTGAATCCAACATCACGCGCTGTCGTGTGCAACACTGAGGGACTGAAGGTTTTGGTGCAACACCAGGTTAAATCTGAGCCTCATGCCCAGAGCAAACGGGAGAGAGAGGGGGAAGGGGATGTGTGTTATTTTTGTTTTTTAAGGGGAACGTGCGCTGTTTTTGCTCTTTGGCTTCAACGCATCACAAACGATCTGACCTTGTTGCGGAAGCCTTTGGTTTGCATTGTCTAAACATTTTTTGAGGAGCATCAACTCAATCTCTGGGGGGTCGGCTTCAACCCCGCTATGTCAAGGGCTTCAACGCAGGTGCCGTGCGGCAAAGTTTGGTCTTTTCAAGTTCTCCTCAGATAGGTCCAGGTGCTGTTACGCCGCTACGCTCTGTTGTTGCATTTATGCCGTAATTCGGTCTCGCAGTTTTCAGCCAGGGGAAGGGCAGTCAGCAGTTCCAATTGTCAAATGGGACGCGAAGCGTGGAGCCCCGCTACATTTGACGAACTGCGGGGCGCTTTTGTCACCACACCTCCAAATCTTCCATATCACTGGATTTAAAACACCAGATCGTTGCTGTTTGAGATGGAAGCTCCAAGGCCTGCGCACCCCATGTCCAACGATGCTGCTGCTGCGGTGCCAAGTTTCGCATCTATAGTTTAAACTGCAGGGAACATGGCCAAACAGATGCTTACTTACTTGTATCTGTAACTGAAGTTGCGTATCAAGATGTCAAGAGCTACCGTGCATCATGCGTCATGAGCCAACACTTGAAAGAGTGGGGTGGCTTTGGCGAAACGATCCGAGCCTCTCAGTTTCACTTCATGTTTGTCATTTTTCATTTGCTTTAACTCGTGCCCTCTTTTGGCAAGCTTTCGTGTGGCCCCTGGACCGAGACAACGTGAGGCGCTAGAGATCGAGAGCGTACCTGGCCCCACGCTGCCACCTGAGAAATTGAGCGCGACATGGCCAAAGGCCTAGGGCTGGGAGGGCAGTTTGCAGATAAGGGCAGAATAAGACCACATTCCACATCTTAGCTGAACATGGGCGGTATGCTTTGACCAGGCTTCTCCACAGAAGTTCCTCCCACCCTGAAAAGGGTGGGAGGAACTTCTTTGGAGAGCATCCTTTTGACTACAACATCTTGCGACCACTGGTGGCAAATTAGAATCTTGGGATTGAGTTGCATGTTGCGTTGCAGGAGTGGCTCTCACGCTACGGCAAGGAGGAGCTCATGAAATCACAGACTGAAGCAGATGTTTGGGTAGCTTGGCCTCAAGGGGAGCTTCTTTTGTGGGCGCCCCCAAGCAGCGAAGAGGAGCTTAGTGGCTGTGGCCCGGGTCAGATTTGGCCTTTCTGTGGTTGCTGGGGCACCCGTTGACTGTTGAGCAGCAATGCTCAAGCGCCAGCTTGCTTGAGGCCGCAGAGGTCAGAGGAGCAATGAAGCACACCTGGGACGGCTACAGGCAAGGGTTTGGAGCGCCAGTGTCAATGTGGTTGTGGCACATGTACAAGGAAATGGACATATATCTTGGGAGTCATTCGGCTTCCTAGCCGGGTCCTAGCCCGTCCACTGTGAGTGTTCCGATGCCAAGGCTTTGACATACTAGGGGAGCAAGACCACGACTGACCTGTAGTTCTATACAGCGCTTGTCACTGCAGTCAAACCGCTGTCAAGCTCACTTCGCAACTCCTGCCATCGGAATCGATGGTGGTAAGCGTTCTGCAGGTAAGGCCGGCATAGGCGGCAAGATGCAGCTACTGTACCAGAGTAGCTAGCAGCTAGAGCTAGAGCAGTTGCAGATAACCACAGACGTGCCATGAACGGAAGCTGCAGGACCAAAGCCTGGGGTCATGATGAAGTTCAACCGAACTCTGGGAGACCCAAGGACCGGGATGCAAAGGTGCTGGAAAGCTGGGCCCACATGGGGCCACCAGTGTATAGTTCAAGCCCAATTTCAGAAGAATCTAAAAATGGAACTTCCAGAAGACTTTGGTTCAGAGCTGGGAGAGTGAATTCCCATGTTTGGCAGACGTTGTGAGTCGGCAGCTGAGTTGGCAGCTGGGTGGAAAGAGCGTCCCGTTGGCATCTCTCCGTTTGTGGGAGGACTGGTGCCGGATGGTTGGAATCCGAGCACGACAAAGCTGTCAATCCTGAGCATTCAATAGTAGAGTGTCCGACATATCCTGGGCCAAGGCCTCGCACATTTTGTGGCCTCAATATTACAACCCTTTGACGGTAATTCAGCCAGCCAACGCCGAGGCGGTCACAATGTTAGATGCGCTGTCGGACCCCCAAAGAATTCACGGATGGCAGGTGCGGACAGACTTTATTTGATGGAGCAGACAGAGAAGACCGCCTTTTATCACATGAGACAGATGGTCTTTGAAGATGTCCAACATGAGGTCCACGCTGTGGGTGATGGGTTTCCGCCAAGAGTTCGAGGAAGGGCAGCCGTGCCGCTCATGCTTGGGCTGCTTTAAAGAACCGACGCTTGCGCAGGAAGCTGCCCAATGGCTCGAAGACAGCAACCTCCCAGGGCCCGGCAGGAGAGAGTGATTACTTCGTGGAACGAGTCGTTTCACGAGTCGTGAAACCGCGCACAAGTCTCACCCAAAAGGCCACCAAGACAGCTTTCCTCTTGAGAAGGGTTGAAGGCCCATGACTCTTAAAGACCTTTGACGGGCTTATTTCTCGCCAGTCATGGCCAAAACAGCCTCTTCGAGATCAACATCCGAGCCTTTGCAGGCCGGGAAACATAGGTCGGACAGGGCCAGCTGTGTGGTGTGTGGGCGACCGCGAAAGATGAGGTGTGAGGAATGGAACATCAGATGCACAACGTTGATCCCAAAAAACACCTCATGCAGGAAGAGGAGATCACAAACGCAAGGGTTTTGCAAATTTCAGGTTCATACGCAAATAACTCATAGAATTGTAAGCATATATATATACTCTCTATGTATAAGTACAATTATTGTTTTAGTGTAACTAGATATGTATGCATGTGTATGGACTAACATTTTTTAAAAATATGCGTTTCACCCCGCTTCTCTCCATAGTGTCCATAGTGCTAGTTGCAAGTTTGATTGTACTATATTAGTAATTAATGCGGGAGAGGTCTTTACATATGCGGCGGTCAACTAAAAGGACCTGGGGGAGGCCTTCAAGTCTCGCCAGCGTCCTATTTTCTATAGATCTCCCCCCCCATCGTTTGCCCAGCAGTGTTTGGCAAGCTGTAACTGTATTGATCCTGAGTTTGGATGGTGGATGCCGGTAGCTTTGTCTTTTTCTCTCCAAGTGTGCCGGAAAGATAACCTCTCACAATCCCTTGAGGCACTTGTTCCTTGAGTGATTGCCCTTGTGCTTCCGGTTACTAATAGTAATCCACTTGTTATTACTAGTAGCGGTACACACTCGCATGTCGCTTGTTCAGATGTCAGGCCTGCTATCAGCATACTCCCTCAGTGGCAAGCGCGTCTTCTTGGACACAGCGACTAGGCGCAGGAGAAACTCATACCGTGGAATTCTGTAACCACTCCTAATTAAGGACAATAATTCATATTTTGATTTTTTTTTAAATTCCCTGCCTGAGTGGCACTGGATTATGAGCTTGGTTCTCTCTTCCTGCCAGGATTTGGAGTGTGCTAATGTGTTGACACACAGTGGAAGAGCACAAGAAAGCACGACATGAGCTTTTGGCATGCCTGAAGCAAAAGGTTCCCTTGATGAACATACCGAGTCGTTGCCCATCGGGTCAACGTTCTAAGGCCCGTCGGCTGGGAGAGAAATTGCTGTCGGCTTTTACCTCGTCCTGGCCTTAGGCATTCTGCTTTCGCGATCCCTGCAGCCACAGCTTCCAGGTTAGATTTCTGGATGCTGCCCTGGATGTCATGCGGATTGGAAATGATTTGGGTAGGGCTAGGGCCGAGCCAACTTTATTGTCATTGGTGCGTGAAAGTCAGGCAGTTACTGTGCTTTTGCCTCACACTTGAAGTAATCCACGCTTTAGGACTGTTTGCTCAACGGTCAATGCTACACAGAAGGTTACATTGGCATCAATCCTTTTCTCTGGATCTTGTGGCCGAGGCCCAGCGGCCTTCCTTTACCCACAGTTGCTTTGCCGCATTCAGAGTTGTTCTTTGCCGCTGGTTTATGTAATTTTCTGGATCCTAGGGGTGCTTTGGCTGGACGACTATGTTAGTTGCAGTTCTGAATTTTGAGTGACACTGACCTGTCACGCTCTCTATTGCAGAAAGCCAGCCAAGGCCATGCCCAGAACTTTGCATTAAGCAAAGCAAAATCAAGCTGGATTAGGAATGCACACCCACATGGTGATTCCCAATCTTGTCATTATGGCCCTTCGGCATGACCCTCCTGTCTCAGATTGACATTGGCACCGGCAAAGCAGCAATGCACTCTTGGAATGCCAACACTGCGTGGCTGACCTGTTTGATTCGGACGACTTCTCTCCCATGTCCTGCAGGGGAAGTATTGAGAAACCATGAGAAACACATGTCACGGGGGTTGGGGGGTGGCTGAGGTGGGGGGCTATGGTGCTTAGGGTTTGCTTATTGATAGTAATTATATTCTTGAAACATTAGAAGCAGATCTCTCACCTTCCCCCCCTGGCAACGTGCGCATCGCCCCCGTTGCCACAGTTGTCACCCTGCAGGTCTTAGCTGAGGCAACGACCCTCCAGGCTGCTTGGGAGATGCGGTGTGGTGTAATAGGTGCATAGCGTACCTCTGAATCCATTGCAATCATTGCCATAGTAAGAATGGTTTGGACAATCGGACCATCGTTTTTGTCTAAATCTGTCGAAACATATCGAAACTATTACTGCTGTAGTAGATCTTAGTAGAGGTAATATATATAGGTAATTAAGGCCGGTAGGTGTCAGGTGTTCATGTTTTAAGCATAGTTTTTGCGTTTGATAGAGCAACGCCTTTTGCAGCAATTGAGCTTTCAGACCTCATGTTTGAGTAGGCAAGGCTTCTCTCAGATGTCAAGTTCTTTAGAAACGGGTCACAATTCGACCCAACTGCAAGTTTGAGGTGGGATTTGCAGGAAGAAATTGAGTTGGAGCAGAGTTTCTTGCATTGACCAGGTGGAATTCCGCTACATGTCCAAGGTCACTGGTGATAGCCGGTGGCAGGAGGCAGCAGACAAGGCCAGGGCAAAGTGAACATAGTCGCAAAGGAACAAGACATGCTCATTTGGCACACTTTCTTCCTTTGGTGGCCTTGTAGCCTTCTTTGTTATGGACTTGCTTCCCTCACCAAAGCGAACTTTCTGTGAGCGCAAGAGAACCAGTTTTGACCTTGACTCAGCTTGAATGGTAGGCCATGGATGTGGTCTTGAAAGCTGCTGGTCAACGAGGTCTCATTCCGCACGTGTGCCCAGATGTGCGAAACAGAACGCTCCAGTGAGTCTTTGTGCGGGGCGGAAATCGGGTCGCTCTGCTCAAATTGTCATGTTTCTGTCGTTCCGGGCGGGATCCGGCCGCATCCCGTGAACGATGTAGTTTTCTTTTGGGCTCAGTGCAGAATAGTTGGACCACGTTGCGTAAAGGTCCTTTGCAGATCGGTCAGGCACCGTCCTTTGTCTATTGGCTCAGTATAGAGGTAGGTCCAGGGACGCCACGAGCGCGCTTGGCCATGGAATCTTGGCCAAGACAATGTCTTGATTCGGTATTTTGTAAAGTTATACATGTTGTACATGTTATCATACTGTGTAGGTCCAGTTAAGGTCCAGGTGCTACACATTTGGTTTGTACAAAACAAGAATCATCAAGAATCTATGTGTAGCTAGGTATGAGCATGGTGAGCATGAGCTAACTAAACACTTTGTTTACACGTTGCTCCGTGCTCCACCTAAGCCTGACACTGCTGTTGGGTAGCATGTCACCGGAAGCTTGCTTCGCTGGAAAGGCCAGCTATTGAAACCATTACTGTTGTACGGTGTCCTTGTTCAGGATTTTATCCCCAAAAAGGGAGCACAGATTGGAGGCCTTTTTTTTCGTCAGCCTCTATGCGCCGGCAGTATGTACTGACAGAGTCGAACTGCTGAGGAGAGCAACACCTTCAAAATTGCATTTGCTGTACTGCTCCTTGGCCACCAATCGAAAGTGGATGAGGTTCTCAAATTCGAGCCACTGGAATCTGGGGCTGTGCACATGCGTCGAGGAATCACAATCCAGCGGAGCAGCCAAGATGAACACATATCGCAACTACACTTGGTCATATCCACAAGCTACGAAGGTAGGCTAAATGACTTTTTGCAATGTAGTCCACAAGCTGACCTGGGCGATGTGGCTGTTTAGGCCAAAACCGAGCTGAGCTAGGACTTGTCAATGATCATATTTGTTGTCATTTGCTCCAACACTCCGGCTTCAGAGCCCCTCATCAAGTTCACCATCCTTTGAACGTTTTTTCTCTCAAAAACTCACCACCGCCGGCCGCCATTGCTAGTGTTTCAGCCCACCTTCAGGGGGCCTCAAAAGGAATGCCGTTTGTATGTGCCAAGCTGGACTGCCATCCCCCAGGCAGCCAGGCAGCTGGTTCGCAGAACTGACCAAAATAGTCCAAAGTATCCAACCCCGGCAGCTTTGCTGATGCTGTTTGTAGATCGTGGGAGGTGTCCACAGGATCAGTACGCATCTAGGTATTAGGTAGCCTATATTCATGCGGCTTGGGTTTTCTTTGGTGAAACCATGCAAGTGGCAGCTGCGGCATGATGTTTGGCCGGTTAAGGACAGCAATTCTCAAGATTTGCACATTGATCTATGCAACTGAGCTGCACGGAAGTGCGTAAATGACCAAAGCCTAGAGAAAGATTTGCAAAGCGAGGCTGCCTTTTGTGCCAAGGTTGGTGTGCGACTGGAGAAGAGCGAAATGCTCAATGGGCCAAAGAGCTGCTTGAATGGAGCATTTGCATCGTTTGTGCAGCCAGGTGCTAGGGATTTAAGGTCTAGAGTCTAGGTTATGTCCTGCCATGCGTATCGCACACAATACAACAGCGAGTCCCCCCAAAATGGAACCTTTTCCTAAAGCCGAGGAAAGTGCCTCTCTGCACTCGCGATGGAGATTTGTCTTCCCTGCCTTCTCTTCAGCGCTGTGCTTCCAGAGGCCGGGCACTTCTGATCAGTGCTCCCCACGTCTCAGACGGTTCAGTGACGGGCCATGCCTGAGTGAGTGAGTGAGAGAGTGAAAAGAGGCAAGATAATATTTGTCATGTACAAGCGTACTCAACTCGCCGTCACAATTTTTCGGGGCCGGAATTCAGGCCACGGTTTGTGTCCGAGCGCCATATTGAATGGTCAACCAAGGCCAACGCTCAACTGTTGGAAGAAGGTTGGGAGCTGCTGATGTGGCCCCTCATTTACTCGGCGGTGGGGACACGGGCGTTGTCGAAAGTTGCGACCACAAACAACAAGTGCAAGAGAGGGCTCATTTGTCGTGGCTGCATGGCACAGTGAAGCCTGCCCGAGCAGAATTAATCAAGAGAAGAGCATCCACTTATTGGCATCCTTGCCTCCAGGTCAGTGGCTTGCTTGGGATTCTTTGCTGCCTGGCTGTGGGCATCCCAAAGCAACACCTCGGAGCTGCTGCTGTCCCTTGACGTGCATTGAGAAAATATGGAGTGCAAACTTCAATGTCTGGTGGTCTGATACGGCCTGGTTTCGCATGGTTTCGCACATGCGCTCCTCTTGGTTTTTGTCAAGGCCTGTGCCGGCTTCCCAAATGTGAACGGCTTCCCGGTATCTGTGGTGAGTGCCTTGGACTGCCACGCTTGAGATATGCTTGAAGGGTTCGTTTGTTACAATCTGCTTTGTCCAGGCTTGTATTGGCCTTGGCCAACAGGTCGGGGTCTTGTGATAGCCCCCCCACGCCATCTTGCGTTGAGGCGTTGTCAGATCATGACTCTGACTGTCTGTGACGGAACTTGCCAGGTGCCTTGGGGCAGGCCATTCCCAACTCTGCCTCTGGCTTCTCAGCCATCGTCTTTCTCTCCATCATTCAGTTGACAGCTCCACAGCAGAAGTTGGGCAGGTCATATCGCCATAGACTGCACAAAGGATGCCCACCACCACACCCAGACATATTAATTATGCACGTTGAGGAGACATGTTTGAAGACTCTAGACTCTAGACTCATTTGGCACTGAGGACGGTTGTCTAAAGTACACCTTGGGTCCTGCCATTTTTTCGCCGCGACCGACGTGCCCGGCGTGTTGGAAGCGGCCATGATATGCCACTTGGGGATTCCTTACATAGCATTCAGGCCGGAATGCAGATGTCAAAGAGAAGACATATGCCCTGGCAAACATAGTGAGACTTATTGGACAGGCACATGCACTGTTGAAGTGCAACTCCGGAAAAATGCCAGGGTGAGGACGAGCCTTGCCCGCATCCGATAGACAACGACGACCAAACGGACTGGGGCCTGACGCATGACCAGGCTCGGTTGCGGTGATTGTGTTGTAGCTTCAACTTAGTTGGAGAGTTGATGCTTCCACTTGGAATGTAAGGCATTGATAGTGGGGTCAGTTGCAAGTCAAGCCAGATCTTACATGCGCGAATGCAAGACATTGCTTCTCATTTTTCCGGCCTCAATGTCGCCCACAGACACATCAGCCAGGTTTGCAGCGTAGAGCCTGATTGGAGCCGATTTGATGCCTACCACGTGTCACTCGGCTGCGTTTGCTTCGGCTGTGGGCTGTGATCCTTCCGTCGCTTGCTCTCAGGTTCAAAAACGAATGTTCTGTCAAAGGGTCCTTCACAGACTCTAAAGCTTCGCCGCTGCTGAAAGAGAAATTCCAGGCGGTCTCATGACTCATGGTTGGATTTGCTCGAGATGAGTTGTAGATTTTTCTGGCATCAATCAATCCATATATCACATGGAAGCTAAAGGATGCTAAAGACATATCTTCCACGAGCTTGAAGACCCCTTCCTTCTCCCCTGCAGAACGTAGCTAACCTGCAGGAGAACCGTCAGCGCCTCGTTCCCTTGTGGAAGCTGCCCAAGTTAGAAGACATACAGGAGCTCCTGAGGCAGATTCTACCTCCACAGGCACGGACACGACCGGACGTCAGTCTGCGAGCGGTGGCTGGTGAACCAGTAGTTTCACCAGGCAAGGCCAGCACAGCTTTCTAGGAAGTAGTGAGAGAGACTGGTCACTGGTGCCACCTGAGCAGCACGATCTAGCATGATGCACTGGTTTTCTCCTCTCATCCGGTGATGTTCCGTGTAAGTCGTCCTTGGAGTGCGTTTGTGAGGTGACAGCAGTGCTACTAGCTATGGCCATTGGCCTTGGGCCTTCATGGATGAAAGGCCTCTTCATTGCACCTGAGGCTGGATGCGGGATGCATGGGGACCGTTCCATCTCCCGGTGCCTTCGTGCTTTTCACGTTGCCGAGGATGGTCAGGCCCCCTTGGCCTTTGTCTATGGAGTGGCGCAGGACCAGCGGAGTACCTGCGAGTTGGGCCATGTCTCGCCATGCCCCGGACCAGAGTGCAGGAACTTGGCAATGGCTTTGTGCCCTTGCAGATGATTTCATTGGGTGGGCGAATGCTCAACGTAGTGCCGTGGCAACTCATTAGCATGCCAATCGCAATTTGCGATGTATCACTGGTTGGTATCCATCTTGCTGCACCTTTTGCCGCTTCCGTCAGGTGGGTGATAATGGGCCCCTGGCGAGCAAGCCTTCCAATGCTCAAAATCGATCCAAACTCATCCGGATCTCTGTCGCTGTGGGAGTGGCCAGGACAGGCTTTCGAATATCTCTTCGCATCCACACTTGCAGGGGTTCTTACTCTTTGCAAGCAAGTGTACCTTTTGCTTAGCGTACTCTTTTGTTCAAATGCTGATGGTATCCCATGGTGCATCTATCCAACAGCCCTTGGCCTTGACATGTGCGAGCCTTTGATTCACGACAGGATGATATTGGCCCCATTTGTCCTCTATTATGTGGCCTACGCGATCGACATCCACATCTTCCACGTCCGTGGGCAGACCCGGCCGCTGGCCTTTTGGGCCCCAGCACTGATTGTGGCAGCAATGCCAACAGCCAACAACATGCATCTTGGCAACGTCAGGGGTGTGGTTCTAAAGTATCCACTAACAACTGAAAACGTAGAATTTTGCGGCAGGCAACTCTTCTTTTTGTCACATTGGTGTTGCACCCATATCAACCACGGTCCAGCTTCAAGGATGTCAACAAAAACATTGGGATACACTGGGGGTGTAAAGTCAGCCCCCCAGAAGATGTGTTGTGATGTGTGCGTTCTTAGGAGTACCATGGCAGATCTCATCGGCAGTGGGAGATCCATTGCAGCAGCCACCACTGCGATTCAGCTGATCATGGCACCCGCTCCTTGACTGTAAGAG